TGCAGACGTCCTGGCCACCGTGTTTGGGAATGGTGTACTGATTGTCCTTGGTCAGTTCCGTGATGGAGCAGAATCACGAGTCCTGGAAACGCTTCAAGAGGTCATCGCCGTGGACTTTGGTGACTGGGTGTGCTCCCGCCCGGTGTTGGTTTGTCCCGCGGGCTTCTGCTGCGCGGGAGCGAGCTTGAAGAACGAGTACCAGTGCGCAGGGAGCTCAGCGAGGGACAAGGCACGGGAGGACTGAACGAGTCTAGTCAGCGTACCAAAGTGGGGGCAGCAGCGCCCGGGATTAGGATAGCTTCGTTGACCCCAAGGAAGTAATCTTGTTTGGACTCGAAAGGATGTGACCGCAACAAGTCACCGCACACTCGGTGCAGAGCAGCAGGGATGGTGGAGGTAGGATCCAAGCGAGAGGGCAACATCATGCACCGAGCGTGAGACGGTATGGTTTCCTCCATGGAATACGTCTATCATGATGGAGAAGCCATAGAGCTTCTCCTCCGCAATGCGACCATTGGTGGGAAATTTGACGTCGTTGGAAGTGATGGCAATGGCTTCTTCCAAGGTGACCGAGGGTCCCTTCTCAACGTACTCCGCTCGAGCAGCCAGGTCATGGACCGCCTTCGCTTCCGAATGGACTTGGCACACCACTGAGAAGTGGGAGAGGCCTTTGCCCAAGGTGGTCCCTTGTCCGTTCACGAAGTACTTGCGGAAGACAAGGTCCAGAATGTGTCCAGTGACTAAGGGTTTGTTCGCGAGGGTAATGGGTAGTGCCGAGGCCTGAGTGCGTTCGCCGAGTTGGGCTTGCAAGATTCCGTGTTCATTCCCTTTGTGGGACTTCGCGAGCAGACCGTGAATGACGGGGAGGTTGGCGTCATCGGCAACGTTGCAGAGGTTGTGGACGCGAGTTGCAAGTGCGACCCCGAATTTAGCCGTGAAGGTTTTGTTGCTCTTCTCAAGGTCATACTGGAGTTGTGTTCGACGGTGCTCCATGTAACGTTAGGTTCGTGATTCCGCGTTGAAGTTGCGTTGTCAGGCCCGGGATACTGCGCCAGCCGCCAGAGGGGAGTGTACCGTTCGGCTTCGTTGGAGCGTTAGAGCGCTGTGGCGCGGCGAACAAGCAGCATTACTAGTGGACGTGTGGCCTCCCGCGACCAACGTACAACAGGCGCTGAACCAGTGGACCAAAGGGGTGATGGCAGCCTGTCGTGCAGGATCCGGGTGAGTCAACTCAGGGGTTAGGACTTCCGCACAGAACTGGGAAAGACTGTACTTCGGGACGGGCCACAAGGAAGGCTTCAGAGAGATAGGACGGCAGAGGCATCACACGGCAGACCCAGAAGGTATCAGTATCCGGGACACCACCGCCGTGGGGGCCAATGTGTAGCACAGGAGCGGAAACGCGGTGAGACTATTGTTCTCCAATAACTGTCATGTTGTGGCAGTTTACGTCAGCCGTGCGCTCTAACGCCGACATAGGAAGGACCAACGTGATAGCGCTTAGAAGATCGTTCCCCACCACGATAGCGGAGAGATTGTCGTAGGGAGAGACCTTGCTAGGATTCACGGGGTATGCGTAGAGTGAATGTCCATTGTAGATATTCGTTTCGTCAATCTGGAGAACGAGGCCAAAGGTGACAGGTGAACGCAGGCAAAATTGGCTCATGGGGCGAGAGGCAACATCACGATTCGCATTAGAGGCGCCGCCCACAGAAGTGAGAATATCAGTGTAGTTAGGATCATGTACCTCCCATGCCGCTTGTTGGAGGAAACATACCTGACACATATTTACTATTGACTCGTATATTAATCATCTAGTCCGGTTCGCATCTAAATTGATCATGCAAGGAACCAAGGAAGTTTTAGGTCTAAAGAGCTACGGGGGTCCTTATAACCAATTCAATCACAAAGAATTGCGTAAGCACCACAGAAAATCTCATTTATGCTTTTCAGCTTAATCAAAACCCAAATTACTCCCCAATAAGCTGCAGTCTTACTAGCAAACAACACTGAAAAGCTAAAGTCTCATCTCGAGTTCGAAGCAAGATACGTCATGTCAGATTGATGAACACAATTGATCCAGACTATCAGTCAAGTGTATGAGTTAAACTGCAACAGAGAAGAGGGGCTAAGAATCAGTCTCTAGCTACACTATAAGAGCATCGAGACAGCTCTAACAGGAAAGATGTGCTTGCGCGGGATTCCATCTTCAACCGAATCAAGGTACGACGATCGTCTAACAGTTTCCGGCCGGAACTGTGTACATCCAAGAGATACCAGTGAAAAGAGCACGGTGAACTGAACAGGTTACGTGCTGGAACCAAGGAAATCCGTCTGTTATCCAGTGAGTTATCTTCAATCGCGCGAAATCAGGAGTTCGATACGTCACATCGCGACGAGCGATAGTCAACAGTTGCCGATCTACCTATCGACTGTTGTGGTTGAGGGCTCTCGCAGTCCCTACAATCACGGGGTAACATGATCTTGGATCAGGTGTGGT